TAAGGGCGATTACTGGCCAGGCGAGGGCTAATCTTCTCTGATCTGCTCTGCGGTAAGAAGAAAAAGCAAACCTCAGCTTGCCACTCAAGTCTGAGAGGAGCAGCAGGTTGTGGAGCTGTGTTGGACTGCCTCCCTGTGGCTGCCTGCAGGAAAGCTGAATCCGGCCCAAAAAAAGGCTCTCTGGGACCAAACATGTTTTCTAAGAGACCTTACAAAAGAATTCCTCTCTGAGTGCATGGATTTCACAGATTAAGCGGTTGATGAGGAGAATGATTCCATCTAAAAGTTTTGCCTATCAAACAAGATGAGAAAGAAATTTTCTATGAAGCTGTTAGAAGCTATCTGTCTCTTATTTGAGGGATAAAGATGGCAATGACTTCCACAGCAGACATCTAAATAAGATTAAATACTTTCAACTATGGCAACATATTCTTGTTGTTTGTGAGGAGAGGATGAGAGAATGTTAGATTATTACTAATTTAATAGGACAGTTCAATTTGTAATGACCCACTAAAAATGTATTTACACATTTTAATGAACACTGTCCAAATCGGAAAATAATTCAGAAGTATTTTACTTTTAATGTCTAAAACTGTATTTATTTAATTACTTATGTTCTACTCTTGTAACTCTACATCTTGTAACTGTATATTAATGTCCTCAGACATTTTGTCTTCGAGGAAGAAAAAATCCTCTAATATTCCAAACTTTACTTTTCCCCCCTCATTATCTGGACACTGATTATTTATTTAATGAATTATTTTTTGCAGTTTCTACATTTTTGTTGTCAAATTACCTCATGTGTTTAAAAGGAAACCTCATTTATGACTTAAACTTAACATTGATTGTCTGAGGCCCATGCGTCCCCCCCGACATGCTCAAGATCAAGTTAAGTATCTCAAACTCTCACTATACTATGTAGCTCTATACTTATTTTAGTTGTGGGTTTAATGCTTTTAATGCAAGTTGATGTGTTTACCTAAAATGTAATCTACTCTATATCAATTGTGGCCACATTAAAAACGTACTGAATGTGGATGTTGTGCAACACTCTGTCCATATTCCTGAGCAGCCCAGTCCTGTACAGTATATTGACACACTGCTGCTCTCACGAGCTCTTTTACTCTCTCAGGCTACATCATTCACATCATCGTAAAAGCGGAGGCCCTACATCACTTTACAGTACCCAACGCTACCGTTAGCCCCAGGCACTCACATCAAGGCCCACAGCCGGCCGCCCCACGCACGCTGTAAAGTGTAGACGGCAAAAGGGATGAGAGGGGTTATGGATGTGCTATAAACCCCGTTATTTTATCATGGCAGGGAGGAAACTACGGCGGACGTGGTGGACAGAGAAGAGCTGTCCACTTCCAGCCTCAGGCAAGCCCAACAGAAGCCAGAGATTTAGTCTTTTAGCTTGTTCTATGTGTTTGTTTCCACAGAGGGACAGACTCCCCTCTCCGAGCTGGATGTGCGAGTGATTGGAAAACATGATTTGAAATATCTTTCAAGTCAAAAGTCACCTCAAAATGAATGCGGAGTGAAAGCTGCTGCATATAAAAATCACACCTCCTGGCAGATATTTGCTAATGAAGACACAAAACAACATGCAACCCAATCTACCAGAGACATCCCAATAAACCTGCACGCTCGTATGCTAACATGACCCAGGCTTTAGCTACCGCATGCAGAGGAAAATGAGAGTCTGACTTTTATGTGAGACTGGCCAGCTGCTCTCATCTTCTTCCCCAGCTGTTGAGTCTCCCATATACACCGAACAGAGGGGACCCACACCAGTCCCAGCTCCTCCTGCAAAGGTATGCCTGCGCCCAAACTTTTTACTCGCTGGCTGCTCGCGTACGCATTGTGCATGAGTAAAAGAAACAGACACTCTGTGACCTTGTGCATGTCTGCACAAGAAGCCCCTTTCCACACAAACACACACACACACACACACACACACATATACAAGTCCTGAGGGTGATCATTTGTCATGTGGAGAGGAATCTTCGGTCTTGCTCCTTATGCTGGGGGCTCAGACTTAAGGCATTCCTCTGGAAATTTATGTTCAAACAGCTGTGGTCTCATCCGCCCCTGCATGGACCTAGAAGAAAAAACGCTGTCCATGAAATTATGAAGGGGATCCAATCCATTACACACCTCCAATCAACCCCGAGTGCACATACATGCACATATAAGCCGTTTTTCTGCACGCCTGTATGTATCTCAGCATGTGCAACAGGGAGCGTCTTCCTGCTTTCACAGTGTGTTTGCAGCTGCTTAACTCCCCCTGTGTGTGTGTGTGTGTGTGTGTGTGTGTGTGTGTGTGTGTGTGTGTGTGTGTGTGTCCATGGGAGACTATGCGTGTGCACGTGCACTTGTGCGTGAAGGATTCAAAGATGGTTTTGCGTTCAGCTCTTTGATGGCTGGACGGTTATCCTCCGGCTTTATGCAGCGGAAGGCCACGGTTTAAAGGGAAAAGCCCCGATTTCACATCGCAGCCACATGCAAGGAGAAAAACACCCGAGGTAAACACAGGGGCCGCACGGAGGGACGAGCTCCCCACACGGGCCAAAGACTAAGAGCGACGGCACCCTGCGAAAGATGAGGAATTCATCAAATGAGAGCTCAGCTAAAGAAGTCTCTTAGATAGGTAAATGGTGAAAAAAACCCCGATGAAGTGTGATGAGGATGTGATGTGTTTCGGTGAGGAGGGTTCGAGGCCTCTCCGGGCGCATGCTTCCAGCATGCCGTCACTCTCTCACCGCCCCTGGAACCCCGAGCGTTGTGCAGTGTGGAGGAGGGAACGACAGGGCAGCTTTCCTCCAGCTCACACAGGTACTGCAGAAAAAAGGGGCCAGAAGCCCTCACCGGGCCGGGCTGAGGGGTAACACAGCCCAAAGCCCTGACTTTTCTTTTTGTTTTGCACGCAGTTATTCCAAAGGCCGCTCGTTCCAGTTGGCTCGATTCCCCCCCCCCACCGCAACGGGGGCCAACAATCAGGCATTTTAAGTCTGGAAGACTCAAAATGACAATAAAAAAGGAAACACTTTTATTTTCATCAGCGTGTATCAATAGAAGAAAAGGAAAACAAGGAAAAAATGTTTTATTCATCGTGCTGCGCTGAATTTTTTTTGCGTTTAAACCAGCTAATCTTAACATTTAGGAACTGGTCCGTTTGATAATCAAGACAACATGATTAAGATTAAGAACAGCTGTCAGAATTGTCTGTGTTTTGAGGAAACTTTGTCAGGAACAGGAATCTGTGGTTCGACTGGAATGATTTGATTCTTTGTGACTCTTCATGACCAAAGTGGAGCTGATTCCCAACCTAAATGCATCCTTTGGATGCCACGGCGAGTGGGCTGAAAACCACCAAAAGCTAACAAAGAGAGAAGCCAGTGGAAAATTCCCTACCGCCTTATTCATGAGACTCAGGTGGCTTTTCTAAAGCATCCATCAGGTTCACTGACTTTGTCGGATGACGCACGCGTTCTCCAACCAGGACGGCGTGAAAAACAAATGGCAGGTGGAGGCGCATTCTTCACATTTTCTGGATTTTTAACATTTCAGAACTGGAGCCTGTTCTTAATATCCCCCTCCGACTGACAACCGACCTCAAGTTGCGTGATTTGTGATGACGTGCTGAGTCGGTTTGCCTCACAAAGCGGGTCAGCGCGGCCTGATGTCGGCGCGGAGGCCGGGCCCGCCAGCCGCTCGCCCCCGGAGGTCACGCGTCCTGCTGCCTTTCTCAGTAACGTAAACTTCCTCACCGCGGGCCGGCTCGCAAACAGCATAAATAAACAACCGCGGGACAAGTCGGGGAGCTCGGGGCTTATTAGGCCGCACGTTTTCGGCGTGAGGTTTGTTTGTTCGAATTTGCTCGCACGGTGACCCAACTCCTTTATAGCCAGCACATGTGTGGAGGAGGGCACGGAGAGGCGAAACCTTACAGAGGGGAGAGCGGGGGATGGAAAAATCCATATTTTTCCAATATGCAGGCAGGGCCGTTCATCAGGCGGAGTTTGACACAGGTCTTTGAACAGGGTTAGAAACAACAACTCGGTGGAAAAAAGCTTTGCGGGGCCGAGACGGGAGGTTTGGCCAAACAAATGTCGTTCTTGGATGCCGCTCCGGGGAGGATGAGAATCGGAAAGATGATGAAAAGAGTGCGCAGATCCATTCCTACGAGCCCAGCTCACTGCCGCGCCGCTTTCCTGGGCTTGATTAGAGGGCCGCGGGGACCTGCGGCACGTCAAGATACAGATCTCTGGTCCAGAGAGAGTTACAGAAAGGAAGCTAAACGAGCGGCTTCATCAAATGTGACATGGCTTCTTATGAGAGGAAGTCTCATTACGGACTGCTTGTGCGGGGAGGCCGCAGCCTGAGTGTGTTTGGGAAGGGTTTGCAAGCCACCTTTTTATCCGAAGGTCACGTGTTTGACTTCTCCAAACTGAAATCATGTCCTCATTGATCTGAATTAAGTATGTCATGCAGACTGACGGGGTAAAGCACATTAATATTACAAGGTCGGCTGTTCAATTCCCCATGGGATGCCTCGGAAAAGCCCTAAAGGCTTTATGACGACAGACCATGTAACTCATTGACAGCAGCATCTCTTCTGCAAACCTAAAAAATTCTATTCAAAACAAAGCGTTGCTATAAACAGTCTGCCACAACATTATGACCACCAACAGTTCTGATCCATCTGGGTGCAGACGGAGAACCTCTAGCAGCTTCGGAGTTTCTGGTAGTGGGAACTCAGAATCAGATCTGTGGGGTCCTGTGGAGGTCGGACTTACAGAAAACTCCATGTGAACTCTAAAGACCGCGTTGGTCCAGGGCAACTTAAGGGTGGTGACTGATATACAGGCAGTGCTAAAGCAGATGTTAAATGAACACTAATGTGAATTTAAGGAAGCAAGTTTCCAAAAAATATTATTGTGTTGCTGCTCATTTCTTTCCATCAGTGAAGTTATCGTTTTTAATACTGTTAAATCAGAGTTTCTGTGCTGTTTAACACATTTTTTGTAAGAAAAACGCAAAAAATACTAATCAAAGCTTGCACATTGCTGCTTGTAGTCTCTGTTTACTCAGTTAGCTCCAAAGAAAGACAGAAAATCCCCTCATTTGCATAAACTGAGGGCTTTTCCCTCAGATGTAAAAAAAATAACATAACACTGTGAAATAAAAAAACAAACTAGATACTCAGGAACAAATTAGACCAATTACACAATTTGTTGTTCGGATTTTTATGGAAAAATGCCAAACTACCTCAGAAAAAGCGATACCTGACATGGCATCTGAAATGTGGCACATGTGTAAGGACAAAGCAAAGACCAACTCGTGATTCACAGAATCACCCTGATGTGTTCAAGATAACGTAAAGTTAAAAGAATACCACTCGCATCTAGAGTCTTATCAGGATCAGCGTCCATTAGATACACCTCAGTGACCCCTGAGGGGTCCCTCAGGTGAACCGGGCTTTACAGTTTGCTGCCCTCTGCTGTCTTTTTGACACTTCTTCAAAAAAAAGGGTCCCATCCTCGGCTCAGCTCCGTTTCTGCCGCTTTGCATGTGCGGAGTCGGAGGCCGTTTCTGTGGCTGGCTTGGAGGCGGCGTTTCTCCGGGAAGCTTTGACCTCGGGATCGTACAGGGCATTCCTGAGGAAGCGCGAGGCAGCTCCCTTATCCAGACGGGCAGCTTTCTTCTTCTCAGTTATCTCTGTCACTCTGCTCATGTAGGTCCGTATTCGCTCCTGAGGAGCAGGGAAAAGTCAGCCATCAGGCATTTGACATGACACAAAAAGGCTCAGTTACCCAAAGAAACTATTACATACCAGTTCCTGTTTGATTCCATGTTCTCTGGGGTTAACTCCCTTTGTTACCAGGTACACTGAAAAACAGAAAAAAAAGACCACCTCTTCACATCATGTCACCCCACTGTGAAATCTAAATGCTGAAAATAACTGGTGACTCCATTTGACATGAGCCCCACAGGTCTGAACTTCACCTTAAATATTTATCTGTGCCCAGTCGTTTCCCACCCAGTGTCCAAATCTGATCATGTTTTCTTATTTAGCGCAGTTCTCAGTGACAGTTTGATAAAAAAGGGTTTTATTGTAAAACTAAAATTGATTTAAAAATTGATGCTTTGTGTGAACAGATGTTCCTCTGGCAAAACAGGGGTGATGATGAAATGTTCCACAAATTAAACAAACGTGTTTTTCTTCAGTTGACAAAAACTAGACTTTAACTGGAAAACAGTGAAGCCCACACAGTCGACGCCCGGCGTGCTGATGTGAAATGTGATGGCTATGTGCATGAGGGGATTGCATTTGCTGCCCAGCGATGCGTGAATGGGACATATCTGACGCACAGGGTGAATCTTTCCATCACTGCATGAATGAACATGAGCAGACTAATATCTGAAGGACTGAAGGCACCACTTTAAGACTTTTAAAGACTTTTGATCATGAGTGAAAAAAAATCTTAAAAAGTACTTTACAATCAAAATCATCATTGGTCATTTTGAAACATAAACAAATAAAAATAAACTGAATGAATAACTTACTCCAGAATAATGAATTCAGGGTATAGGCCGACATCAGATCCAGCTTGGCTTGATCCAAAGGATCCAGCTAAAAATAAACCAAATTAAATTTAATACCATTTACCAAGTACATGTCATTGTCATTCAGCTCTTCACAAGCATTCTATTCCCCCAAATATGTACAAGGCTTATAGATTGTAATACATCAATCTAGGTCTTAAAAATGATATCTAAAATGTTCCAGTTCATAGTAGCTCTACAGTAAGGAGCCTTTCATTTACGATGGTATTTTCTTTTCTTGTTTTCGATCTAACGACCTTTGACATCCGTGTTGAATGTTTTCACATTCAGGGGTTAACAATTAAAGCAAAGGATAATATGCATGTAAAAGTTACAAAAATAATACTCCCACATTTATCTCTCCCATTTAGTTGAGACATGTAATGCTAAAAGTGAGATTACTTCATCAAACTGAAATTGATGGTAATAATTATATAATAGTGATGATCATATAAGTAAATTAACCTTCAGAAAGATATTTTGCAGTTGTTGCCAGTGCTACAAATAGAAAAAACGTGCATCTTTTTGCGATACATAATATGTCCATATGGAGTCTAAACAAATATACAGTTGGTCCAAAAATCCGCTGTACCTTTTCCGACAGCTCATTTCTGGGCATCAACGTCAACTTATCCAGCACAGTTTTAACTGCATCAACTGAAGAGTTGAAGGACGTGAGCTGCTCGTCTATCTCATGGGGGTAGTCATCGATACCGCCTCCTGTTGCCATTTTCCTGCAAGATATTTTGGTCAGATGGTGGCTTAAACCAGTGGACAACGTCAATAATTCCCATTCAAGTTTATAACGTTAGCTTGCTGGGCTGCTAGTTAGTGCCTTTCATGCGCAGCAAAGACTAAATAACCGTTTACAGAAATTCTAAATTCAGAAGTGATGAGCGTAATATGTTCTGATAGATTTTTATGGTTTAAAATAAAATGTAAAAACTGTAGGAAACTATTTTACGACGAGAAGAGTTGCATATTTACCAATTTAGCACGGAGCACGTTTATTGCTGACAGGAAATGACGTCAGTGGAAAACAGCGAGGTGAATCTTTTGGGATTTTCTGCCCTCTGCCGTTTGGAGGAGCAAAGGTAAAATAACTGCAGGCTGCTTTGAAATAATTCCATTTCAATTCGTTTAGATTTATTACCCTGTGGATAAAAAAAGCCAAATAATCTAATTTATTTGCATTATTTTAATAATATTCTAACAACCTCACTGCCTCTCCAAAGTTGATGTTACTCGTTAAGTTATTTCTTTGCTTTCTTTTTGTACATCCACTACTATTGGAACTAAATGCGTGAACAAAATACTGGAAAAAAATCCTTTAAAAAACTTCGTCATCAAAACGCGTCAAAAAAGTTGACGCTCAGGTAACGTGAAGGCCGCAAATGAGCGTTCGTTACCATGGTAACTCGAGGCGTCAGCTTGGTAAATGAGGAGAACCGTTTAGTGAGTTCAGGTATTTGGACTGTGCGCACGCTTGAGAACCAGTGGAGGCTCTGAGACATGGACAACTGTGATTTGGAAAAGCTCTCTGTTTCTGCTGGGAAGCTCCAACCAGCCTTCTCACCTGGAGTTACAGACTACAAAGTGTCAGTGGAGAGTAGTGTCCACACAGTGACACTGGACGTGCTGACCAGTGACTGCGGAGCATCATACAGCTTTGTGAGTGCTTTCCTGCTAAGCTGTAAGGCAATTTTCTCTTTACATCAGTTTTTTTCTTGGCTGAATTTAAATCTCACTTTTGGTTTTTCAGCTCTCTGGTGACCGTTCCAGCACGGTTAAGCTGAAAGATGGGTTGAACAGAGTGGAAATTGAGGTGGTAGCCGAGGATGGCACAGTGAAGAAATACACCGTTGACATATCCAAACTGTCAGCAAAGATTGCAGAGCTTAGTGATCTGGGTTTGGAAGGAGATATTCCACTTTATCCACCATTCACTGCCAAAGCCTTCGAATACAGCTGTAAGTACTGACTGCTACCATTGAAAGTAAAACACATTTAACATTTGCCCATAACAAAATATACATACTGTACTGAAATGTAAACATATACTCACATAAATGAGCAATGTTATTAATGGAAGTGTCCACCAAAATATACACGTTTTGTTGCCCCAGAGTTTTGCAAGTTGCTCTTTTTTACCCTTTAGGTGTCACCTAACTTACATCAATCCTCCCACAGGTGTCGTTCCCTTTTACCTTCAAGCTGTGACGCTAACTCCCAAGGTACCAGACAGACTGATAAAGGTCACCGTAAACGGTGGGAGCAGCTCAGAACCAGTCCCACTGAATTTTGGAGACACTGTGGTGGAGGTCTCGGTCTGTTCAGCAGATGGCACCATTTCACAGGTAGGGTGAGACCTGATTAGATATCATCTTCACATATGTATTTTTTATGGGTTATCAATGTAAAATGTTATAGTTATATATCAGAACATGTGTCTTCACACCCTCTCAGTTTGCCTCATTACACTCTATTGAAACACAGTAAGTAGTTCTGCATTTTAAAGTTTCATACGATCAGTTGGCCCACATCAATAAATAACAGAATATAAAGGGAATCTAAGGAGTGTAACTTGTTTGGGTCATTCAAGCTTGACAGGGATCTGCTGATCTGTTGCACTCATGTATTTATTATTAAGTCTTTTCCCGTCTAACTCTGACAGGTGTACACAGTGCTGGTGACTCGAGAGCTGGTTCCCATGGTTGTGACCTTCACTGATGGGAAGCAGCAGCTGGACTACGAATGTCCTGTGTCCTTGAATGCTTTTTACAGGCCGGTGTCTGTCAACCACAGGTAAGACAAAGTGGGGAGCTTCACTGTGTCAGTGGGGATCCTTATTGGTCATTATTGCTGTCTGCAATTATTCAGACACATGGTGACCTATGCAGGTTATGCTAGTGTGAAATAATTAGTCATTTTTAAATCCGTCTTTATTTGCAGTGACCCAAAGAGCATCTTCTCCAGGCCGTATATTGAGATGCTGGCACGAAGATCAAAAGTGGACCCGCTCAGCGATTGTCCTCTGGGAGACGGCTGGAAGGTCCCTGAACTGGACCTTGACAAGAGGATGTCGGCTTCTTCGGTCATGTGCGTCTTCAATTACAGAGGTAAAGCTCGGAACCGTAAAAAACATTAGTCCAAAATGGAGCTGCTTGTTGGTGAAGGAGGACTTTGGTAAAGTAATGTTCTGCCAAAAAAAAGAGCTTCCAGGATCACATGGTGATACATGGTAAAGAAGTCACTACCAGTAACTGGATCCTTTCATAAATTTGATCATTTCTGGCCTCAGAGGTGCTGCAACTTACAAGTACTGTAGATAACATGTTTGTATGCTAGCTGCCCTGTACCTAACCTCCAGCTGGTCCTGGTTACCCAGACTATACTATCATGTAACAGGATGGTACTGTAGACAAAGATTATGTTGCTGTAATGAAAAGGATGTCATTACTTAACTAAAACTTAATTTAGCTGACGGCTGTGCCATTGAGGCTTTGTTTCTCAGGCGTAATTCACCACCTAGACTTCTCTCAGTGTTGAGTGAAGTAGTCGATTTGAATATTTCACCTCAATCCAAATCAAATAATTCCAGGGTTGTTATATGAAGTTTAAAAAATCTGTTATTGACTTTATTTAGCTGTTTCCTGCGTTAGAGTATCAGTCACCTTTTATAGGTGATTTTTCTATATTTTTTTATCTCTGTGATGTGTTTTTTTTTTTTTAACAAAGGGTGCGACAGAGTGATGGAACTATCAGAGCTGGGGCCACACTCTCTGGACTGTCCACACAAACCCACGGGGGACCTCGATGCAAAGGTTAGGATGAAACATTAAGCAGCGATGAGCTTTGGCAGACTCACAGCTATTGACCCCGACTCTGCTCATCCTTAATTCACCAGTCGAAGCTGCTTTCTCGGTCACTAAGTGTCGGTTTAACCCCCACAGGAAAAGTAACGTGTGCGAGTTTGTTGTGGACAAATCACAGAGGTCTTTTACACTTTTTATCCTTTGCATGTTATGGATCATTTGGTATTCAGGCTGGTGGACACGTTTCTTTTCTTCATTTTGATGTTTGCCTTTTTTTAAAAACTGCATTGAATGATGTGTCTGTTTTTGCAGGATGTAACAGAAACAGATTGGTATAAGGAACACTTTGCTTCATCGACCTGTTTGGAGATAGAGACGCATCACGTTTCTGAGGTAATGAGCTGTTTCTTTGCATTCTTAGTGAACGGTTTGTTCACTGGGCATGAGAATAAATCCTGGCTGTTTGCTAGCTCATCCTTTCAAAGAGACGAGATAACATCAGACAACCAGTCTTAAACGCCACCAGGCAGTTAGAGGCGGCTCTAATTCAATTTACCGCTGTCATAATGAAAGGGAACTTTGTGGGTCTTGTTGGTTTAGGCTGCAACACTGAAAAAGGATTTGTGTCTCTAATCCTTATTAGGCATCTTTTTCTGCCAATACAAAAGCTCTAAATTCTTAGCCTGCAATGGACAGTAGAGATAAGGCCCAGATATATCTCTTAGGTCATCAGTTAGTTCCTTTGTTCAGTTTCCTCAAATGTTTTTTGAGGACAGAGTGCACACAATGCTAAAATATTCTGGGTTTTCAACGCTTATAGAAGGACTAAAAATACAACTTAATCTCTAACTGTGTTAACGTTGTTGTTTGTCAGAGAAGCAAATAAAGAAACGGGAAAAAGTTATGTGTATTTTAGACTGGCTGAATTTAAAGATTCATATGTATGTTAAGTGATTTTAGTTATTCACAAAAGTATGTTGTGGTTGATCTCCATTATTCTTTGAAAACTTTTACACTTTAAGTAGCCATTAGCTTTAAACATAATGGATTCTGAAAATACTGAATTCTCCTTCAAAACTACGCTCCTTTTTGTCTCGTGTAAAGCTTTATTAGATTGGCCTTCATCATCTTCTTTGTTGCCACATGTAGGATTTTGATTTAAAATTACCTGTAATATAGAAACTTTCAGCGCCTGTACCAATGTTAGCTTCACTGACTTGCTGTTTTTGTTTATTACAGATGCGTAGCTGGGAGAAAAGACTGCAAATCACAGCTGAAGAAGACAACGTGGACAAACTGCGAGCAATGGCCGACGAGCATCTGCAACACTACAGGAAGCGCCTCCCAAAACCAGGCACATTTTGCAAATCAGAAACACAGCTCAGCAGATTTCTTCACTACACCATTGTCTTTTGCTTGCCATGAAATGCTTACTAGCCAGTACTATTCATCATCCAGTTTATGGAGTTTCTTTCACATCTTGCAGCCAACAGTTGGGTCTGTTCATGTGCCCCCGGTCAGGTGGTATTTTCCATTTGCTGCAACAACGCAGCAGCTCAGCAGCAGCTGTTGAGAAATGCATGTAAATGGATGCATTCGGGGTTGCGTCTGAGAGGTCCTCTTCTGTCCAATGTGCCAGGCACTCAAGTTACTGCTCGTGTTTTCTCGGCTACTTGTTTCTCGCTAATTGTTTGATGACTCACAGACGTGACATTTGAGACAAGATCCCAGACGACTGCGTGAGAGTCACTGGAACCGAACTGAGAAGTAGCACCAGAGTGAGAGACGCAGACCTCTTAAAATATAAAAAAGGTTTTTTGTGTCATTCTGGATAAAGCTGAGAAACATAAAAGTGATGCTCGCTGTGAGTGTTGGGCTGCTAAAGACAGAGATCTTGTTTTGCTGCTCGAACATGCTGCCGTTTACATGCTGACACGTGTTTTTTGAGGCGACCGTTTAGAGCATATCCCTTCTAGGACACACTGAAAGAAAAGAACAAGAAATTGCTTCTTTTTTCTTTTCTTTTTTTGGGAAGTTTCATTTTGGGTGCGATAACAAGACCTGATATTGCGTCATTAAAAAAGTATGAAATCTTGAAAAAGGAATGGAATGAAAACTGAACTAAGAGGTTGAGGACTTGGGCAATTTTACTTCCACAAATGTTTAATAAGGTACTCCCAGAAAACTTGAAATGGTTATTAAAGGCATTAGTGCCTATCGCAGAGCAGTAAAAGTTAGTGTGTCAGAAGCTGCTGAATTAGCTCTCAAACAGCAGCAGTGCCATCTGACGGATAAAAGACGGCCTTGACTTGGAGCTCCGCTCTTTTAATGTTTAATATGAAAGAGGAACTACATTGTAAGTCGCTTTGGTCAAAAGCATCTGATAAATGCATAAACATAATATGCAACAACTCTCTGGATTGTGAGGAGAAGCAAAGCCAACTCAACTCATTAAGCAACTCAGAAAAATGAGCATATATTTAAAGCTTAGGGTGAACTTTACTCTCAGATAAATGCAGATCGCCTGGTTTGGTGGTCTGATGTCTGTACTCGGTGCCATTTACAGCTCAGTGTTCATTTTTCAACTCTCTGTAGGGGGCCACCTGCAGTACGAGGAGGGGGATTCTCCTCTGCAGAGCCTGGAGCAGGCTGCTGTTTACTATGCATCGGCAATCCGACTCAGCTCCAAAGAGGCCAGACTCCACTTTCTGCTCGGCCTTGTTCTGGAGGAGCAGCACTACGCCACAGAGATGTACGGCCTCCAGAAAAAGGTGCTGTCCGGAGGGGGAAATGCCGGTTGTGTCCAGACGTCCAGCTCAGCTATGCGTGATCTCCCTGTTAAAAATGTCACCTGGATATATAGGCCAGAAGATTTAAAAACTGGCTGTTGGTGCACTGTTTCAAGGACATCCCCACCCACACAAACACCACTAAAAGGCTTTGGAAATGTGGAATGTTGCTACATGCATAGATTTAACACAGAGGAAGGTTATAGTATCACTAGAGTTTTGCTACATCTGCTATTATAACTTTTACTACTGATGTCAATAAACCTCGACTACCCAAACCTTTAGCGTTTCACACAGGGCTGAATTATAGGTTTAGTTGTATGTGTGACCAGATCGTTCCCTCCATCCTCTGCAGGCTGACAAGGGAAGAGAGGAGGTGAGCGAGGCCAAGTCCACAGCCCTTCAGGACGACATCCTGGCGGTGTGCAAACTGCACGGTTTCCTGGGCACACCCACAGTGGAGAACCAGCTGCAGGCCTTGGATAAAGAGTTCCACCAGCTCAAAGAGCAGGGGCAGTCCAGCAAAGCCGACTATGTCCAGACACTCTACCTCTGGCTGTCCAAGAAAAGCGGCAAGGTGAGTTATTCTTTGTCTCTGTGCTCAGATAAACATTAATAATTTTTTTTTTAAAAAGAGTTAAATCGGCATAAATGGCACTTGTGTGGGATCCACTGACCTCATATGAGAAGAAAAGCTGTTTCACTAATGCCAAAAGTCGAAACATTAAAACATTTATCAGTTATCTCAAATTCTGGAGATTTTACAGTCATCTTTTACATTCACTGTCAAGTCTTCACAGAGTTTCATGGCCACAGGAAAAATGGACCAACGGCTTCCTCACCTCAGAGTACCTGAATTCAGACCTGACTGGGCATTTTTCATAAGAAGCTGGATGATTTAGCCCGTTTGATCCCCAGCATTTTAACCCCCTCCAGTCATCCCCGTGTTCTTGCAGGATGGCAATGCAATGATGCGGGACGAGGAGAGCTGCATCCGCCGCGCCCTCATGAAGTACCTGGACGCCTGGTCCCTGAGTCCGGACAGCTGGGAGTTCAGCCTCCACGTGGGGCGGCTTTTGCTGCTTCAGGGGAGGAGCCGGGAGGCTCTGCAGCACCTTCAGAGCGGCCTGGCGCTCCGGCCCTCCCACCCTGCTCTCAGGTCAGGTCACCAGCGCTGGTAGAAGCAGTTGCTCCAAAATCCCACCAACCCCGTTAAGGAAACTAAACACAACTTTATTCTAACCTTAGAAAAGAGTCTAGTCAAACGAGAATTGAGTCAAACGTACTCGTAGTTTTGCGGCTCTAATTTAAGGGGGGCTTTTCACCAACCTCTCCCCCCTGTTGCTCCTGCAGATTCTTCACAGGGCTGGCTCTGCTGCAGCAGGAGCAGAAGCCCTCTGAGAGCAGCCAGAGGCAGGCGGCGCTGTTCTTACACCAGGGCCTGGAGCACTTCCTCAGCCAGCGCTACAGCAAATGGTGACCAGGCACTGTGCAAGGTTTGGGTTCAAAATCTGCCGCGTGAGCTTATCGTGATTTTCCCCAAGCTGGGTGGAGCCGGATCCGACGGACCCCCTGTCCGGCCTCAGCACCCAGTTCCTGCGGGGCCTTCTGACTCTGGGCCGGCTGCAGCAGAGGAGAGCCCTGTCCGGGAACGCCATGGCCGCTGAGCAGGTGGACCGCTTGTGAGTTACGGGCAGCCGTTTGTCCCTCAGGGGCACAGGGGGGGTCCGAGTGCATGACCCCTGAGTAAGCTCTTCTCGCCCCCTGTGCGGCAGCGTGGCGGCGCTGAGCGCCCAGAGCGTGAGTCGCTGCGCGTGTGTCGGGGAGGTGAGCCGGCAGCTGGAGTGGGTGCTGCTGGACGCTCACTTCACCCTGCTGCAGCGGCTGACCCAGCCGGGCGGCGCCCAGGCACAGGCCCCCGGCCCCAGGCAGGCCCTGGTGGCCAAGAGGTGCCGGGCCCTCACGGCGCTCATACGCCTCACCACCATCGGCCCCTGCCAGGAGCTGCTGGACGTGCAGGAGAGGGTAAGAGTAGCCCGCGCTCGCCGGACGCCGGACGTCGACTGGGGGTGAAGTCAGGCTTCTCTCTTCTTCCCAGGCCTGCCAGCTGGCGGTGGTGACCAATCCCCGGGACAGCCACTTTCTGTGCCTGCTCGGTCTGGCCCAGCTCGCCCAATATGACAGCAGCCCAAACTCGGACGGGGCCGGCGGGGCGCTGGACAGCGCCTGCCTCAGCTTCCAGGCCAGCATGGAGCTGGAGGACCAGCCGCAGAGCGGAGAAGCACCCGAGCAGCTGAGAAGTGAGCCGGCGCTTTTCCACCCAACGCCACGACTTCAGCCGCGTGTGCCAGGCAGCGGTTTGTTTGTTTCAAACTGCGTGTTTACCGTGCATGAAATATTCATCCTGGCCCTTTTGCTCAGAGCAAAGCTGGTGGCGGGACCGGCTGGAGGCTGAAAACAAGAAAGCCCCGGCTCAGCCCGGCGCAAGGCCAGCCCAAGCGAAGGCGCCCGGTGACAACAGCGTGGCAAAGAGAGGGGCCAAGGCGGGCAGGGGAGGGCCCAGCCAGAGGCCAGTGGCGGGGAGCAAGAGCCAGACTCCTACCAGCACAGCTCCTGCCCGGGGGGGGAAGGCTGCTCAGCCTCCAGCCAAAACGCCTGCCCTCAGGTGAGTCCCGGTGGCTTGTGGGTGCTGTCTTATTCATGGCCCTTTTCCTCGGGATTCAGGCTTTTTATAGGGCCTACCTTTCTTCTTATTCATGAGGCAGAGCAGCGCCAGAAACCCATTTCTGAGGCGTTAGCACTTTAGTTTTCCTGGATGAACAAAAGAAAGGTTGGATTTGAATTCACAAAAATGTGGGAAATGAGTGGGTCCAGCTTCGGACTACGTGTCACGTGTGTAGAGTTGCTCCAACCGAACAGAGAGAAGAGAAGTTTGCTGTTTGTGCCACCATGTCCTGCCCGTCCACCTTTGTGCTCAGCGGTGAAGCATTTTGTGTTGCATGTTCTCTCCTGTAGAGGGAGAGCTGGAGCAGCTTCCAAGCCAGATAGATCATCTGGGTCTCCCAACGGCGGTGCTAAACCCAAGCTCCCCGCCAGCAAGTCTAAACAAGACTGTTCCCCTTCGACCGGCGGGAGTGCAGAAGGTAAGGCGTGACGGGGGCACTGCGAGGGGGCATGCGCCCACAGGCTGAACTGCCTACACCAGGAGACTAACAAAAGGCTGCTGGTGGGATTTGAAAATACCTGGTAAAGATAATAAAGAACGCTGCCATGCGTGAAATTCTTGGAGGTCCTCTACGCCTGAAACAAGTTTTTGGTTGATTACGTAACAGCAGAGCTTTGGTCTGTGTGAGGTGACGCAGCGCTGGCTGCGGTTCACTTGGCTGTAAACTGTCTGAGGAGTGTTAACTGTGAGAGAAAACAGGTCAAACGGGTCAAGTTTGAGATGGAATCGAACTGCTCGCCCCTCCTCCGTGATGCCGGTGTGCCGTTATGTGTGTGTGTGTGTGTGTTTGTGTTTCAGAGCCCGCGGCGGCGGCCGGCCTCGCCGGGCCGGGCCCGCTGAACCGCCCGTCCCACGCCCCCCGCCTGGGTCTGGCCCGGGCCCTCTCACGCTCCGCGGACAAACACCCCCGGGCCCAGCAGCTCTACCGGGAGGTCATCTCCATGGCACCAGGGGTCAGCTGTCCAATTTGCTGTAGATCTAAGGCGTTTCCTGGCTGCTTCCGCAGCTCATAATGGCTCTGAGATAAGATTACGCCCGTGTTTTACACCCACCCGACCGCCAGTCCGGGCTTAGTCATTGGTTCCAGGCGGATGTTGCTGTCCCATCGCAGAGTTACACAACAAATCGCCGCCTCACACAGGAGGGCTGTTCTGCTGATGTGGTCCGGATCCGTAGTGATAAATAACTCTGCCCTCCCGCCCCAGATCCACGACGCCTACATCGAGCTGGTGCAGCTTCTGGAGCCGTCGGAGCCCGAGGCCGCCGTAGACGTGTACTGCCGGTTCCCCCTGAAGCCGGCGGCCGAGCAGAGCTTCGACGACGCCTTCATCACTGGGGAGATAGTCCGGATGCTGATGTCCCAGGAGCAGTACGACCACCCTCAGCTGGGCCCCAGCCTGGTGGCGCACGGCAAAGTCATGGGCCTAAGTAATCACACCTTCTCATAGTTTCACATATGTGAACACAAGGGTCCTTAGTTATTTTTCAAAGCAGCTTTTGTCACGGAATGAAATACTAAAAAATATTAATCATTTTCAGCTTTAGTTCTTTTTAAATTAACCCATTACCACCTTCCAGTCAAACCTTCTTCATATTTGGTTGCTAATTTATTCTGAATCATAACTTGCTATTGTTATTTGGAAGAGGAGTCTCTGTCCCATTTATTAGTTTCTGAACCCCCGACCCAAAGTGAAAATCACTGGAAGATGCCTGTCAAGTCCTGTATGACACGTCGCTTTTGAGAACTAAATAGTATCAGTGTCCATGTGATTGCTTTATCTCATTCTTTCTGTCTTTGTTTGCAGGCTGCATTGAGAAATACATCGATATTTTGGATGGAAAGTCAAAGACCAAGCTGGTGAAAAGCGTCTACGCCAGAATCCACGACAGGCATGAGGATGACCCAGAGCTACAGGACTTCTTCAGGTTCAAATGCTGGATATGAGAATGTTTGAAGCCCCTCAGAGTCGTGTGTGTTTGTGTGTGTGTGTGTGGAGGACTGCTTCATCCATATAAAAAGAGATGTGTTATGTTGTGCTGTGCTCATAAACAAAGGATTATTTACTCATGATGTAAGGGAGTCACATTAGACTGAAGACTCAGTTCTTTTTTCCCCCCAGAAAGAAAGATTTAATCAGAAATCACAGTTAAAAAACAATCATATCAAAAGTTACAACTTTAACGAGCACAAAGCTGTCGTCAGCACAACAGGAGCAGAGCCTCTCTTCCCGGCCGACAGCCGAGTGACTCAGGTCTCCGTCCTGCGTCGGGCTGTGGTGAAATCGGAAGAACGGTTGTGTTCCAGGAGCGTTCCTCACATGACTCAGCAGCACGTTTTCAGGGTTACCGCTCAGCAGAGCGATGAGTCAGTTTAAGGCCTGTCCGGCTCTCAGCTGGACGATACAGCTGGTGCTTTTCGCCTCCCGGCTGCCGTGTCCGCTCTGGCCGGCGGCGAGGGCGGGGCGGCTCACACCGCGTTGAGCTTCGTGACGATGAGCACGCGCACCGACTGGTCGAAGCCCGAGCACACGCACAGGCCCTGCTTGTCGGGGCTCCAGTCCAGGCTGGCGATTGGCTGCGTGGACAGAGTGGCGTTCTGCAGGAGGCTGACCGACCCGGCAACACCCACGTCCGCCCCGTCCGAGTCCTTTTTGCTCCTCTGAGCAGGATATTCACTGGAAAGAACGTCAGACCCATCACTTAGACATCATTTACAGCTGGAAGTGTAGCGGTTTAATCTTTGACTCATTACTCACTATTTCCATAGATGCAGGTTTCCTGCTCCCCCTGCAGTCATGAAGATGTCTCTGTTTTGAGGCAAATGTCTCACCTGCCAGATGGTTGACTTATGAGCCTAAAATAAAGACGAGTGATCAAAAAGACGTGGTTTAAACTTTCCAATGTTTCACCTGTCGTGGGTGAAGAGCACCTCCTGAAAAAGGCCTGAAAAGAGATTGTTAAAAAACCACAAAGCGCTGCTCAGTTAATAACTCAGTAGTGACACCTGAGGTGCTGAAATGGGAGCCGATACAAGAAAAACTCAGTGATTATTTTAAACTGTGGCTGGAAGGCAAGAAAAAGAAAGAGTCCATTAATAAAAGCCCAGCCTCGACGCTGTGAAACACAACTGACGTTTCGGTTTTTAATGGCCTGAATCGACATCTTATTTTTCTTTTGTGTTCTGTTAAAGCTTCCAAAGTAACCTCGTGAGTCACGCTTGGAGACACTGATGTTCCACCAAAGAACCGGATAAATATTTAGAGAGCCAGTACCCCTGATTTCTTAGGCTGTGCAAACAGGCGGCGCGCTGCTCTGCCCTCCAACGCTCCTTTAAGTGGGTTTTTACAGCATTTCTTCACAAAAAGCCACACTTCTCTTCCCTGCCGGCTCCGTGTGGCTTTTGGCCGGCAACGGAAAGCCGCCGAAAATGTCAGACAAACACGACCCCGAACGCTTCCAGCTGTGAAAACGCTTAACCCCCCCCCCCACCAAAACCACCTAAAAGAAAGCATCCCTCCTTTCCGAAAGGGGCCGTTACCTTTTCGGAAACTGAGGCGAAGCCGTTGGCGGGGTGCTGGGTCCTCATGTCGAACACGTGGAACTTCCCCTCCAGCGAGGTGGCCACCAGCTTGTTCATGTTGATGTCTTTCCGGTCAAACTCCACACAGCACACCTGCCCACGGAGGGAGGAAAACATCTGTCACTTCCTGGATATTCACAGCGCGGCTTCTCTCCCAACACAAGTCATAACAATTACCGGCGGGTTCATCGTCTCTAAATCTGAAATAACGGAGTGTGACAGTTGTGCACTGAAGGCCGTTTATATGCGGGACGAGTTAGAGGAGCTTCCACCTCAGACTTAATTGTGGTTTCATGTGCAGAGAAGTCTGCAATTCAAAGAGCGGCTGAACGGTGGAGCTATTCTGTGCTGTCCGGACTCTTTTTCTTTTTTTTTTTACAAGCAGATCCACAAACGCTGGATTTGAGAGACAGGAAGAAATACTTTGCAAAAATCCCATCTCACCCCATTTTTGATGTTGGTTTCCCAGCGCACGGACATGTTGCGCAGGTCAAAGAGTTTGACGTCGCCGTTGTCGTAGCCAGCGCACACACACCGGTCCTGATCATTGAAGGCGTGGCCTGAAATGTTTAGCAAATGTGTCAGAAATCATTTTCAACGCTCGCTGAAAATGGGTCCCTGCGTGGTTTAAGGTTTTGTTTTTCTCCTTTGAAAAACTAAAATCCACTGTCCATTGTGCACAGGTTTGTTACCAGATCAATGAGAAACAGGTACATTTCCACACTGTTAGGAAATCTTTTTTGTCTTGTGTGACACTGATCTATGTAGTGGTAAATATAACAGCTAATGGACATCTAAAGGCCAAGTCCTGTGAATGAGGATGATGGGTCGACCAGGGGCCAGAACACAGAAAAAAACTAAATGTATTATAACGGTTTCATAAATAAAGATTGAGCGTTTGTTTGGTAGTGATGGACATTAAGTTTAATATAAGACTAATTCTGAGCGAAAATACTAAAAAAGCCTGATGTTGATTTTCCTTCCTGATCATGTCTCATTTGTTTTCTCATTTAACTGCTTGTGCTATAAATAACTGCAGGTGTGAGCATGAGTCATGAGTGAGGATGGCTGCTAGAAAACCTTTCTAATGTAAGTCAGTCTTCGTTTATGGAGAAGAGACCGGAGACTTTACTGGATCATAAACTGGAGTGGTCCTCCTACGTGGGCACGGTGTGAGGGGGGGGCGGGGGCGTCTCGTCCTCCTGAGACAGCAGCGGTCCTTCGGCAGTTTTTCATCACGCTGTCACTGAGCGTGAACCCGTCTATGCTGCTGTCTGCTGGGGAGTGGAGCCACCGACAAAAACTGTAGGCGCCTGGACGAAGTGGTGAAAAAAGGCCTGGTCTGCGACAGGCGGGGGGGGGGGGGACCTCTGTGGCGTGGTGGAGCTGTGGGCGAGGAGCCGGCGCAGACTGAAGGGTTCGGCTCCTTTGTTTCACAGGGCTGATGCACTATTTTGTCTCTTGTTTTTTTTTATGTATAATTTCTGTTTATTTAATCAAGCAGTTTCAGCATAACTCCTGGGAGGGTCCATAAAATAGAAGCGTCTCAATACTGTCGCTCTGCTCTAATAAAATCCAGATTTTGTTTGTTTTTTCAATCTACACAGAAAATTCTGACAGAATAAACTTTAAAGTAACTTGAAGACAAAGGCTGTGAAGATAATTTGATGATACGTACATGTACAAATAAAATAATTGACTAAAAAGCATTACATCTTTGGACACCAGTTGGTCAATAACTTCCGCACAGACTGTGTATCTGACTGCCAGTTCAGTGCTTTCATATGATAAACTACTTTACTGTTGGCCTTAGTATGTCAGGAGTGGTCACATGACACACGTGACTGTCACTTTTTAAGGTTCTAAGATAGTTGCACATGTTTGTGGAATAGTTTGCGTACCAAATGCAACAGTCCAGCAGTCCCTCTTGGTTTCTCCTTCCACCGGCTCCATATTGGCCACAGGCGAATCCTTCTGTCTGGGGTCCCATACTTTTACTGTTCCTGTAGAAGAAGAAAAAATAGTAATCGCAAATTAAAGCATTGCACAGAAAAGTTTTGATTATGTCACTCTTTCAATGCTTTTACCGTCTCTGCTTCCAGTGACTATCTCAGGAGCGCCGTCGCCAATTCCCAGGCCGCCAACACCATCTATACTATTTATGATCTCTTTGTGGGCCTTTGCGGTGTAGACCGGCAAATCAGGTGCTTCCAGATTCCTGCGTATGAAAATTAAATCAGAAACTCCCCTCATACATAAATATAGTCCCATTTGCAGCTGGAGTCAGCCCTTAGGATAAAGCTGATTTCACCGGTGGTGGATATTTATATTTGTGATCAAACTCTGATAACTAATACAGATAGTGTGACGTGTTGATGCGGATAGAGTACCATATATTGAGGTTTCCATCAAAGTCCCCCGTCGCTATGTGTCTTTGTTGGAATGAGGTGGCCCCAAACGTCCCACACTTTATGGGTTTTGGTTTTTCTACCTGAAAAAACAAAAGATTTGAGATTCAGTTTGGCTCGGACAAGCAGCAAAACAGCAACGAGAGGGCATCCTTCTCTCGGTGACACGCCATTCACAGGGAAGCCGTAACTCATCTCTGTGACATTTCCCTGGCTCTCTGCGTGTTGCTTGTTGCCATGGATACAACCGAGGCAGAGTTTTCTGGAAGCCTCCAAGAAGCTCAGCTCCACAAAACGCCTTACCTCGTGATACATTTCCGGTATAAAAAAAGACAAACTGGCCACAAGGCTTTGATATAAACCTACTTCTTTGATTAGATGAGCCTCTCCGTGCTGCACCTCGTAGATTTGAATCACTCCGGTTCCTCTGGGAAAGTTCCCCAAGCAAACGAACTTGGCACTGCACGGTATCCACCTGCTGTCGAACACCGTGTAGTTCAAACTCTTCTGAATATGCGCGATAATCTGAGGCTTCGTCAGCGGCGATGACATGTTTGCTAAAGCTAAACTATTCTGGTGAAAGATAGAAATCCACCTCACAGGTGGGAAGAAAGTCGGGCAGTGCAGCTCGGAGCCAAAACATATGACGTTTGGGCCCTTCTACGCGTCTAGCTGATAGCTGTCCAAGGATATGCATGACCATTATTCTTTTCAATTAAATATATATATTTTTTCAAATAATTTGTTATAAAATAATTAATACAAATATATGTTCTCAATCATGGTATAAATTTGGAATGAACTGTTAAAATTTATGCTGGAGATTACGTTTTTTTTTTTATCTTTAGGCATCGACAACGTTGCTTTTTCGGTCCTTTTCGTAGCACGAGGACACCCTCATGCCTCTATGGCCGCTGGCTGCTTCAGTTTTTAACGTATGATTTGAGTTAAATTACTTCCTTCGACATGGACACTGATAAAAATCCCACCCAAGACACTGGCGCAGCCGTGGACAGTAAAAACGACTCCGAATCATTCACAAAGGTGAAGTCGAAAAGGAGTCAGAAGCGGAAACGTGAGCAGGACGGAGTAGACATGGACACAGAGGGGCCCGTGGCACACAAGCGGCCTCAGTTTCCACCAATTTCTGGGGATAAATTACAGGTAATTGCATTTATCTATATGTCTTCTGTGTATGGTTTAAGTGTCATATTCTTAAATGTGTTAGCTTCTGTTGCTTCTCTTGCAATCCCTTTAACTACAGCGATCTGAGCATGCGCATGCGTCTTGTTGCTTTACTATGTACTGTACACGAAGTGGAGTAAACATTAGTAACGCTCACTGTGGTTTGTCCAGTGCCTTATCAAGTTATTTCGCTCTTCAGTATTGTAGGTAAACTCAATCAGACACTTTTTGCGGGACTACATTACTGTCAGGTCAACATAACTTTGGTTTAGTGAGTTTCCGTGTGAACACTTTCACCCATTACTTTTTTAACTGGTAAAACGTTGTGTGTGTGTGTGTGTGTTTGCGTGCGTGTGTTTCAGGGCCCGGATGAGATGCGCAAAATAGCCGTCCCAGCGCACAGGTACACCCCTCTGAAGGAAAACTGGCTGAAGATTTTCACTCCCATCGTGGAGAATTTACACCTTCAAGTCCGATTCAACCTGAAGACCAGAAATGTTGAAATCAAAGTGAGCGCCCTGAGACCTCTGAGCTGTGCTGACCGGCCCTTATGCAGCGCCTCTGTTTCTGACAGCTGCCTTTTGTGTGCGTGTTTTTATTCTTGATATGTTTCAGACGTGCAAGGAAACCCAGGACATCGGCTCCCTCACAAAAGCTGCAGATTTTGTTAAAGCCTTCGTTCTTGGATTCCAGGTTGAGGTGAGTGGTTAGATGTTTGACCTTTTTTGTTTAGTTTCTGAAAAAACTGGAAGTTGCTGATGCTGAATCTTGTTGGATTTCTTTGAACAGGATGCCTTGGCTCTCATCAGATTAGATGAACTTTTCCTGGAAAGCTTTGATGTCACAGACGGTGAGATCCAGTCTTCTCTAAAACTGCTCGTGTGTCGTTGCTTTTTTTTCTCATCTCTTGTTCCTTTTGCAGTGAAACCTCTGAAGGGCGACCACCTATCCAGGGCCATCGGGAGGATAGCAGGAAAGGGAGGAAAAACTAAATTCACCATCGAAAACGTGACAAAGACTCGCATTGTGCTGGCAGACACGTGAGTCCTCCAGTGGTGACGGCCCGGAGTTAATTTAACAGCGTCAAAGCTTCAGATGTCTCCTCTGTAATTAAAACAAGATTAAAGTTAACACTCCTTCCTGTCTCTCAACAGAAAAGTGCACATCTTAGGCTCTTTCCAGAATATTAAGACAGCCCGAACGGCGATATGCAACTTAATTTTAGGTGAGCAGCTCGTATTTGAAGCGGAACTGTCAATGCGCTTTAGTCCAAAGAGGTGACCTTCATACCCCTTTTACTCCCACAGGAAGTCCACCTTCAAAGGTCTACGGCAACATCAGAGTGGTGGCCAGTCGCACTGCGGAGAGGTTCTGAGGTCCTGTACGCCTTGGTTGTTGAACACGCTTTGGACCTGCAGCTAGTCTCAATCTGATCCAGACAACTAAAGACTGATGGTGTCGTAGCGTTTATGTAAATAAATTTACGTTAAAAACAGTTAATTTTTTGCATTATTCACAGTGTTGGTTTAAACACTTTTATCCTTAAACAGTGAGCTGGAACACAAAGAAACGACTGCATCTTTGTACTTTCAACATTTCAAAGTTTATTTAAATTTTATTTCATTTTCATACAGTATCAAGTTTCCAACAGTCCCACAGCATAAGATGCAGCATGCAGAAAAAGGAAAACAAAGAAAAAAAAAACAGTTGTCAAACTTAAATCTTTTCAGATATCCCCACACAAACTAAAAAGAACCCAAGTCCCTCAGAGAAAAAGTAGCACTTACAAACTAAAGCGCGGTCTGAACTATACAGAGAACAGAGAGCCAGAACTGCATTTAACAAATACTTATATACAAAAGAGAAGAAAAAAAAAACCTAAACAAAAACATTTCCCCTTTAAGCTGAGTACAGTGTGTGGCAGTTTGAGACAGGATCAGATATGCAACTTTTACTGGAACCGAAGCATCTTGCTGACCCGGGTAAAATACAAAAAGTTACATGTAGTTCAGTTCATTTGGATTACCTCTCATAATATGTGTACATTTACCAAAGTTTGGCAACATCCATATTGTATACCATTAAATTCTTAAATATATTAACATCACCATCCATGTGTAAACAAGAGGATTATTTCAAAAAATTGATCTACATGCACAACAAAAAAATATACTTCCATGTCATGCAAGCACAGGGAGGCCCAAGCCGTGCAGAGCTTTGGGATGGGGGACAATATAGCACTCCAGATCTGACTGAAAACTCCTGTTCAAACCAGCAGTCGGCCTCCAAACCAAAAAGAAATTTATCCCAATGCTTTTTTATAGTAGGAAGCATTTTTCCCCTTTAGAAATGAAGTTTTGAGTGTGTTTGTGTCCCCGTTTGCATTCGGGGTGGGGGGGG